TTAACTTGATACAATTTTCTGTTGATTTTTTGTGTACTTTATTGTTTTGAATTTTTGATTTGACCTACCCCCCTATTTGTCATGCTTTTGATTCCAATGGTATGTTTAAAATTTTCAGCAAGTTTATAGTTTAGGATATATGAGATTTTCAAAATAGTAAAATTTGCCTCTTATTAATATATGAAAAAAATATTATAAAAATATGAAATAAATACATAGAAACTTTTGGACATTATAATAATATATTGGATAATTTATATAGGTAAATGTCTTTTTTCTTTTTGGAAAATATTATATTTATACTATATGTACTTATGATTTAACTTTATATTATATGTGTTCTAAGCCTATGCAATGGATTGAATATGATTCCGCCAATTTGTACCATATTCTTGAATGAAGTGGCAAGCTCCTCCAACACGATCTTCATACACTCCATCATTTTTCCAATATGCACCACTATTGGTCTTCTTTAACATCAAGCCATCTACACGTCTATCTACGACCCTACTATGAACAAACCAATGTGCATTGTGAAAAAATTCAAAGATGAGAGGACGAATACTTCGATCATCTTGCTCCCAACCATCGTAGAGGAATTGCCCTACTTGTATCAATGCTTGTTGACTTGCTTGGGCACTTCTCCACTCTCTTGCTTGTTGAAGTTGTCGCTCCATATGCTTGCCACTCCATCCTATTGCTTGTCTAGCAAATCTTAAGGCACTTTTGACTCGAATAGAAGGTGCATATGAATTTCTTCCATGAATCTCATTGGCCAACGTTGCTAAATGACTATGGCATATTTGAAAGAATCTTTATAAAGATTCTTCTCGTATATCAAAATGACCTCCTATAGCTCTTTCTATGCTAGAATATTCAAAAAGGTCAAGATTACTAGAAAGTTTATGTTCATCTATTATTTTCTCTGTACGAACACTAAGCTCCAATCTCATGCCTAAAAGATAATTTCTTGATATATCTTCAGACATTCCTTCCCACCTTGCTAATAGGTCTCGCATTTGATTTAGTCTAATACGCATAGTGCGAATTATCCTAGGGATATCATCTAAACATTATTTTTGTATGACAACCAATATTGCATGGCATAACTCTTGATAGAGCTTGACTTTGACTATACGATTGTCTATCTTTGATTTAAAAGATAATGATCCATATCCTTCTATATTGCACATTTCGTATACTTGACTTTCTATAATCCTTTGACTTTGTAATTGAGTATCATTAAATTTGAAGAGCATAATATTATTCTCTCGAAAATTGACTCCATAGTCATAGAGATTCTTACCAAGAGAAAAAGTATGACCCATTTCTACAGGGTTTAAGGTTTAGGATTTAGGCTTAGGGTTTAGGGTTTAGGGTAACATGGATGTCGTAGAGGTTTTTGATCCTCAATATCTCTCAATAAATCACAATTTTTTTTGTTGTATAATTTTGCCAAGGCTTAGAGTGATCCAAAGACCTCTATAAACGTTTTTGTTTATCAAAAAGATGTGTTTCATTTTCTATAATTTAGGATTTAGAAATCCTAATTAGGGTCTTCAGACCCTGATTAGAGTTCTGACTTGCATATTTCTTCTCATGTGAGAAGTGTGTATGGAGTATAAATGCGTACAGAACTCTGCTTACTTAAAGCAATCCCCCATAGATAGGTGGTTCACCTAGTCCAGGTCTAGAGAGTCCTTCAAGCTGCTTGTCCATATGTCTTTGCCCACTCTCCACCTACTATACCACCGGCTCTCCTTTCATCAGGATCATCGTTGACGGAGTCAATATCAGCTCCATCTTTGACTTCTGCAAGACTCCCAAAGGCGACGTTGGTGCCTACCTCCAATGCATCCGTGAGTGTAGCCTTCGAGACTATGCTGCTTACTGTAGCGTCGTCTGTAGTCACATTATAGATTCTACAAAATCAGACATCGACATGCTTGTTAATCACCCTGCAGTCACGTCCATTCCTCAATCGACCTCGATCAAGACAACAGAGGGCTCAGCAGTAGCGGGTACTATGTGAGCCCGACCAACATCATCCTAGGCAATGAATTCTACAATGCGGCACACCCTGTACTCTAGTGGGCCGAGCTCGAGTGCTCCAACCACTGGCTCAAACTGTCACATCCCGATGGTCCATCGTAGGACAAGTCCTCGTACCTCAACGCTCGATCGTAGCTCCCCAGTGCACCAACTCGCGATAACCCTTCATGACACCCTATGCTCTGATCTCTCGTCGTTGCTTCTTGTGCCGCCGTAGGCATCCACTGTAGCTGCTCCGACATATGCACTAAAAACCACACTCAACAATGGTAATTCTGCCCATCCTTACATGGCTGTGTCCAAGTACCGAGCCGAATGCAGCCAATACTCAAATACTTAAATGCACCCAAACTCGCACGCATCGCCTTTCTAAGAGCTCTCTTTTTTGAAAGTCCCTACATGCTATCTCCGAGTAGTAATATCGCCACGGATTGCAACACCTAGCTTTCTCGCCCGGATGGACAAATGGGCCCTCCATCCAATCATGGCTCCTCCCTCTCATACATCGCCTCACCTAGAATTCCAACATCCGGAACTCATTGCACCCGTACATGTCTATCACCGGCCATGCCTCCTCATCCTCGGTGTTTGATGACAGAAAATTGTTGAACGATGCATCAAGAAATGTCTGTAATCCTAGCGACCAGGTCTCTCGGCCCCCAACAGTGATGCCAATCCCAAGTTCAACCCTCGCATGTCCGTTCAACTTGCTCTCTTCTTGCCTCCCCATAAAAGCCCCCTTCATCGCTCCCCGCCTCGATCCGCGATTCCTCGTTTGCCATCAAAAATCCCAAAAACTCACCCTTGGACACCGACGACCTCGGCGAGCTCCAAAAGAAATTGTTGAATGCGTGCAACTCTAAACCCTACCCCCAAAAGTTGTGGCTCCTCTGGTACATCCCATCCAACGTGTCATCTCGAGGCGCCTCTACATCATGCATTGCCGTGGATAAGAACAAGGTTCACCACCGAATTGCATACTGTGCTTGCACATCCTGCAACATAGGCATGTAGTCACCCATCGATTTATACAACGATGGCGACGATAAACTCCCCCTTCTAGTGATGCTAGTCTCTCCGCTCCACCGCTCATAAATGGTGACTTTTTAAACCAGGTTTGCGTATAAAGTGGTTCGTGATAAGCACGAAAAGAGTGGTGTACATGCGCAATTGGAATTGGTTAGTAATCCATACCTCGCGAGTATGTGCATCTATTTTCGTTGACGTCTATTTATTAGTTTGCTTCGTGATGATTTTAACCAAACCGCACTGTAAACTGACCTACTTAACTAGTGAAATTACTTTATATAAAGTTCAAGTTCACATGTTAATGTTCGTTGAGTTATTGGTTGGAAAGGGGCTATAGGTTCCTTTCTTGCCCCACCTAAGTTGCTTGTGAATTTCAGAACTTGTTTCAAAGTAATCTCTGTCTTCCTTTTCAAACATGCTGTGAAGAGCATGAGTATGAGAGCGTATTGCATTTGTACTATTGTAATGTCTTTGGCTGGTCATGACAGGGAGGGAATTTCGAAGCTGAAGATTTAGAATTTAGTTTGAAATCACGAGGCGGTAGAAAAAGACTGAGACTCAATCAAGTAGATGATCTCTTGCCCCGAAAGCATGTATCCCAGCCTCATGAATAGATGGTCGATTTTGTTACATTTTTACAGCATTAGTCTTAGCTTGAAGATAAATGTGTCATTGTAATTTTTTTCTTTTGGTGTATATATATTTTATTAATGTAAATGCGCAGCTTGCAATTAAGAGAACTTAGAGAATCCGTCAATTGATTGGTGCCAAAGGTCTAGGATTTAGAGTTCAGTGTTTGAATCTAGCAAAGCCTAAACTAAATGAGGTAAGAATTATGTCTTTCCTTTTTAGTGCAGATATGGTATCTGAGGTAGAATTCAAATGTGATGCAAATTCTGGAAGATGGGATTTTCATTAGATTGTGAATCATATCTCTGCAAATTATATCTCTACCTTTGAATCTAGATGTATTAAACCATAAACCTGGTTTAATTGGAGTAGAGTTGATGGTTTATGGTGTGGCATTTGGAATATAAATACATGCAAAATACCTGCAGTTGAATACTTTTATGTCAAGTACCTCTGTCAATTTCTCCAGGAGTTCGTTCACCAAAAAATCTTGATAAAGAAAATCCTGTTAAAGTATCTCCATTTGTATCTTGTATGTTGAATTGTCATCAAATGTGTACTCTAATTGTTATTCTCAACTAGACATTTATAAGTTTGAATTCAATCTATAAATATTAGTTTTTTTAATTTATAATTTAGAATTAGATAAAAGAACATGATATTAAGGATTTTAAAGATTAGCCTTTTCCTTTTGTGGTAACTTTTAGTGATTTTTGATGTAATTTAGGGTTCAGGGTTTAGGATAGATTACATTGGGTCTAACCATAGAATCGTATGGTATGAGATCTGTTAAACTTGGTCGTCTCATTGTGCCTAGTATACAATCCGTCGACCTCAACAATATTGATTGTGCATGTTTTTATGACTCAGATTTATACACCACTAGCTTTGCACAGTTTTACTTGGCAAAGAACAGTGCAATTTGTCGTTCAAAAGCTCACAGGTATTCCATCGGAGTGGCATGATTCTGTCCTGTTTATTCGTTTTCATTAGCATGTGCGATTTGTAACCAGGAGGTTGGTTGTTTAGAGATAACGCGAATCACTCTGAAATGCATGCGACCACCAACACTGGAGCAACAAAGTAACCTGTTGGTTTAGATGATTGTCCTTGACATGAGCTCTCTTGTCACAACGGCTCAACAGTAATGTCAAACTAGCACAAGAATAGTATGTACCAGAGACTTTTTATCTAGACGTGCACAAGAGACCTTAAACCAACTTCAGTGACCTTTAATTTGATGATTTGGTCAGACACTTGTGCACCCACATGTGCCAGGAAATCATGCATAAGCCAAGTTGATCATTGTACTCGGTCTTTCCTTCACAAGTCACGGTGCAAATATGTGCATAGTGAACGTCGCCCGACACCTACAACGCACTTACACGATTGTAGAATAAAGTGAGAACAATTGAAGGTCAAATACAAAAATCGATAGGTTTAATTTTCAATTGTACTGTTTTAGAAGAGAAACCTAAACCCACCACCCACCACCCGCCGCATTTACAACTTTATGTATAATTAAAAGTTTCACAAATTGAGACACCTTCCGTGCATCAGGGCCTCGAAGCGAATATTGAGTTCACTTTTACATTCAAGATCCCCGAACACAATATTTGTCTTTCTCCCTAGATGCATTTCCAGAATGTGATTGAGGCAATCAATTTTCTGCTACGCTCTCCAAAGAAAGTTCAAATCTGGGTTTCGGAACCAAGAACAGCGGTTGCTTCTTGCTGACGGAGAGGCCTATTGTCTCAGTCATGTCCACCTCAGTTTGACCTTCCGGCAGAGACCAGTCGAATACATAGAGGAGATTCGCTAACATCAAGGCCACCATCGTATTCGCCAGCCTGTATCCTGGGCACATCCGGAGGCCTTTTCCGAACGGCATGAGCTCGTAGGGATCACTTGTGCTCATGTGATCCACGTGAGGGCGTGCAAGAAATCTATCAGGATCAAAGCTGTCAGGGTTGTCGTATACACTTGGGTCTCGGTGGATTGCGAAGGAGTTCACTAGCACCTCCGTTCCTGCCGGGAAATGGTACCCAAGAAGCTCTGTAGGCTCTCTTGATTCATGGGGAAGTAAGAGCGGAGGATGCAGCCGGAAATTCTCTTTCATCACGGCTTGCAGAAAAGGGAGTTGTTGGATGTCGGATTCTTCCACGAGGCGCTTGGAACCTATCACTGAATCCATCTCAGTCTGTGCTCGCTCGATCAGTTCTGGCCTCCTGATGAGTTCGGCCATAGCCCATTCTGAAGTGTTCGAACTAGTCTCCGTCCCAGCATTCAACATTTCCTGTTCTACAGACCAGCTGTTGGTTACTCTCGATGCCCTACACGTCCTACGCCAGTGACTAAGAAATATCATTATGCAAAATAGTGCTCAAATGAGAGACACAAAATCTCTTACCTGTAGTAGCTTTAGAAGGTCCTGGTCAGGGAGATTAGTGCCGTTTTCGAATGGCGTCTCCATTAGTACATCTTCAAAATCTGGGACATAGCTTGGGTCGTTTTTCATTTTTTTATAATTGTTTCTGTGGCTGTCGAGGTCGAAAAAATCAGCCGTGAGTTTGTCTGAAACATCGCGGATCTTGGAAAACTTGGATGCATGTCCTTGTAATTTAGTGATGAAGCTCAAGTAGGGCACAAAGTCGCTTATGACTACAGAACCAAGAAGTTCAAAGACACTGGAAGTCATCTTCTGAAGGTCTTGTCCTTGCTTCTCACCATCGTCTCCACTGACACCGTAGAACCTGCGCACGCGCATGCGGGTGTAACAATGTGAGTAGACAAGAACACTAAATCACTAAGGAAAACACAATGTAGCAAGGCCCTGCTTC